ATTTTGGTTTCTTTCACATGACTTAACCTACAGGAGGCAGTGCTGCTACCCCCACCGTCTAGCCTTGAGAAGGTGGCCCTACCTACTAGGTATTGGCCAGCAATGCTGAAGGCAAGATAGATGGAATGCACTCTGGTGGGATTTACACCTTGGGAAACATAGAAACTCGGCTCTAATCTACAAATGGCTCTGTCGGCTTTTTGGTTTCCAGACTCAGGGAAATGCTGTCTAAGGCGGCATTTGTGATTAAGGTAGAATAAGCTTGAGCCTTCAAGAGCTCGACTGCTTCATGAAATTAAGAGGTGGAGAGATTCGCTCCTCCCAGAGCAGAGAGGAAAGGTTCCCTGATGAAGTGGGCAAACGTCAACCTGATTTAGCCTCCTTCTCTTGGGAGTACTAATGATGTTTCAGTGAAAAGTTCAGCAAAACTGTAGAAGACACACTATGATTACACCCAATTGTTTGGAAATGACTTGTGAGTCTGCTGAACACTGTAGAAAGAGGAGATGAGGGATATCTAAAGATGAGAAACTCAACGTGTTAGCTCTGCTTGATAGGATGCTGGGAACTATAGTTTAATTTTTTCTGCCCAAGATTTACTCTTCTGAAAACATTCAAATATCTCTCTACTATGTGAAGGAGATGGTGATTGAATGTGGCGACGGCAACAGCTTCTGTTAATGTCCTAGAAACACTGGAAGCCAGTGATAGGTACAGCTATATAACATGGCTAAATAAAAAAGGCTAAAGTTATAAAAGATTTTGTTTAACAAGCCTAAAAAAAAAAAGGGAGGGGAGAAAGATGGAGTGGATTACATGAAACGAAATCGTGTTAAAATATAAATATGGTTAAAAACAAGGGGAAAAAATAAATTTAAAAAGGTGAGATGTATATAGGAAAATGGCTATTTCAAAGGTTTTCCAACAAAGAACTGCTTTACGAATGACAAATTAATTTCTGCAATTCACTTTGTAATAAATAGATGAGTCTTAAGGTGATTACATCATCGCAGTATTGTTGTTGTTATGTGCCATCGAGTCGTTTGCGACTCATAGTGACCCTCTGTACAACAGCCCTAAACTCTGCTCTGTCCTGTGCCAATCACACTGTCTTTGATACTCCCATGCCTATTACCCCAGTCACTGAATCAATCCACCTCACAGAGGGCCTTCCCCTCCTGCGCTGTCCCTCCACCCTCCCAAACATGACAGTATTAAGAAAAGAAAAACAGGCCTTTTTAAATGAGAACAAAAAAATTCCGGAGACCTTTCAGTAAGTAAAGACGAATCTTCTCTCTCCAATTTAGTAACAGAGCAGCGTGAATGACTCTGGAATCTCCTACAGAATACCGATTCCTTTTCCACACCTATTCAATCAGTCTGCAGAATGAGAAACTTGACCATGTGAAAAAATACTGTTTCCTCAGGATTGGAGGAAGACTCATCAACAACCTGTGTTATGCAGATGGCACAAACTTGCTTGCACAAAATGAAAGACACTTGAAGGATTTACTGCAAAGGACCAAAGACTACAGCTTTTAGTATGGATAGTACCTCTCAACCTCAAGAAAATTAAATCCTCACAACTGGACCAGTAATCAACATCACAGATGGAGAAACGTTGTCAATATCACTGTATTCACAGTCAAGATCAATGGTAGTTGGGGGAGAAATAATCTGCTTTCAAGGACCTCTCCAAAGTACTAATGAGCCTCAATAACATGTTTATTGCTGCATTATTTACAATCGTGAAGAGATGGAAGGTGTGCTATTAGCCTAAAACTTGGCTTTCCCCCCCACACCCCCCTAACATTGATCCCATCTGGTTTCCAACTCTCATAACTGCAGACACAGGATATTGCAAATGAGCATGGTCTTGCAAATCATCAACAGAGATGGCACTAGGATAAGAGAAAGAGTGCTTCCCACACTAGAAGATAGACTTGAGGCAAGCAAGACTTGTGGCAGCAAGACTTGAAGGAGATGAGAATGAGATTCTGGTGACAGTAATAGAGAGACTGTGGCACTGATGTGGAGAAGCTTTGGCAAGGACAAATAAATCCTTAGATAGAGGTCTCAGTTAAAGGATGTTGCTGTTCTTGATGGATGTGTGAAGGAGAAGCTGACATGGAACTGCTCTGAGGGAACCTTGCTGCATGATTTGGATTTGACTTCTGAACTGAAACCAGCG